AAAGCACCCCCTAATTTCAATCAAGGCTTATCACCACCTACCCTTTCCGATAATTTTATGGTTTCTGTATTCACTGTTTATATAAAATGGTAGTGGAGACCTTGGCACCTCAAAACTGATGGATAGTTCCCAGTACAGTAATAATAACTTACAGTTTTATGAATGACACATAGTTTCATAGTTACCATCCCGTTTGTTCTTCACAATTCTACAAAAGAGGCCTGGCATTTTTACAAGGGCTTTAAAGTACAACTGTGCAGGTTGTACACAGTGCAATTCTAGAAGGAGGCAATATTTAAACTGTAGTCCCTGTAGATTTTTATTACTTATTATCATTTCCCAGCAGATGGCAGTGTAACCTCTTAAAGAAGGAGAGCAGGTTTTGTGTTTTCTTTTTTCCTAATTCTAACAAAAGGCATGGTAAGAGACCAGTGCTTTGCTAATGTGTTGCCTTCCCTCTTTGTGAAGGAACTTCAGAGAAAGCAACTACCCGGCATTCCTGACATTCAAGGCAGAAAGATGCACAGGTCCCCTCCCCCCCAACCAGGTTAAGTAAACACCTACAAATGAGATAACATAATTTATGTGTATAGATGGAGACTTGTAAGACAAGAAAAGGCCAACAGGGAATGGCCTATGTATGCTGTCTTTAAAGAGGTTCTTTTTTTTTTTTTTTTACAAAAATTTAATTTTAATTGACAAATAAAAGATTGTACATACTTTCCATGTATAACAGAATGTTGTGAAATGTGGATACATTGCGAAATGGCTAAATTTTGAGCTAATTAACATATTTGTATATTGCATCCCATACTTATCATTTGCAAAAAAAATCTACTCTCTTGGTAATTTTTAAGAATAAAATGCATTGTTATCAATTATAGCCACCACATTGTACGGCAGACCAATTGAACTTATTCCTCCTATCCATCAAAAGAGCTCTTAATCACAAGGAAGATAGTCTGAAAAGCTGCATATCACCTCATTTAAGGTGTTATATCCCAGCCTGTGCCCCTCGACATGATCAGTAGTAACTAAGCATAGGTGTTAGATTTGACGGCACACAGACTTCACTCAGATGAAATGTTTTTATTCTTGCCAAAAGAAATCCTAAGAGACAAGGGGACTATGAAAATACCAACTATCCCATCCCAAGTGTGCTGAGGCATACAAAATTGCTTAACGGTGCAGCCCCAGTTTCACCTACGTTGGCTACAATTTCAATGTCCAAAAAGCTTGAAATAGAAGTTCTATATAACTTGTTTGGTGGCAATATAATGACAGCCCTAAACTACTGTGGAGCAGCAAAACTGCACCCGACCAATCGAAGGCCCTTTCATATAAAAAATGTCCTGATTTTTTTCTCTTCATATGAATACTTGCATGCTTTACTACACAAATTTTAATACTAGCATTTAACATTTTACATTTAGCATTAATTTTTAACATTAGTATTAATTTTTTTCCCACATTTTTATTGGTACATTATAGATGGACATAATGGTGGGATTTGTTGTTACATATTTGTACATTAACATTAATATTTTAACGTTAATATTATGTGATTGTTGGGTGCCACATGTGGCCCCGCTGGGGATGACACAATATACACATGACCTATGCTGCATGTTACCTTTCTATAATCTGAAAATTGAATTTCAAAACACATGTGGCCTCAAGTATTTTAGGTAGCAATACTTAAGTGCATTTTATTGGAGTCCCTTCAGAATGCCTAGAACAGTACAACTCACAGTATGTTTCATGGCCCATCAGAACTGCTGTTGATCAGAATTGACATATTATTTTCAAGCTTCACATCAAATAATAATTTTATAATTTATTTATATGAATGAAACCCAAAAGAGTGCATAGCGAAGGAAAAACAATCAGATTATAAAGAAATCATTTATGAGAAGATACACTCTGTTGCCCTTGTACCAAAAATGTTGAATGAAAAATATTCCTAAAACAGTTGATATGGTTTTGAAAAAAAGGCGGGGCATAGTAGCACATGCCTGTAATCCCAGCTACCCAGGAGGCTGAGGCAGGAGGACTGCAAAGCCAACCTGGGCAATTTAACAAAAACCTGTCTCAAAATTTAAAGGGACTGAGAATGTAACTCAGTGCTAAAGCACCCCTGTTACCATCCATATATGGCATCCCTGGTACCATATGCTAATTATGAGAGGATAAATGGTTACTTAGAAAAAAAAAATTGAGAGGTTAGTGTTGCTGGTGTGAGACTAACACATGGTTATCACATGACTAAAGCTGCAAAGTCCTTCCTGTGCTGAGCCTGGTTTTCATTACTCAATTTGGAGCCAACTTTGTGATCCAAGGCCCTCCTGGGCCCCTGCACATCTTTATGAACTGTCCATGTTAACTGAGTGCTGATGAAAGACTTGAAGGCACACAGCTCTCTGGGATAAGGAAGGAGGATGTATCCTGCAGAATTTTTCTCACCCTCATGGTTTGCAACACGAACATCCCTTTTCATATCAGGAGACTTAACTCTCATTTTCCACTCAGTTGCACGTACCAGTCTTGTACCAGGTGACAATTCTTGAGCTGATAGTCCAAAAACAACAGTTAATGCTAGTAGCAAGAATAAGAATACTTAAATAATAAATCAAGGTGCTTCAAAAACTAAAGGCACTATGGAGTTGAAATAATAATAGTTCCAATAACTATTTACTGTGCACTGGGTTCTGTTCTAAGCAATCTACACATATTAACTAGCTCATACACCTTCACAACAATCGAATGAGGAAGTCTTTCGACTCCCTATTTAATGGAAAAGTAAAATGTTGTAGCTCCAAGAACAAATCCCATCTAGCAGCTGAGGGCACTTGAAATGTGTGGGGCATTTTTGGTTATCACATGACTAAAGAGATATACCTGGCACTTTAATAGGCTGGGCCAGAGAGGCTAAACCTCCTTAACTTGGGAGACAGTCTCAGATAGTGAGGAACTGTCCCAAATGCATATGTCACTCTGCTGAGACTTACTTGTTCTCTTTCTCTATCACTCATGAGAAGATAAACCACTCATCTTTTTTGGACTTTATATTTCCCAATTCAGATTACATTTAAGGTCAAGTGTGAAAACAGCTCTAAGCTTTAACCCAATAAATGACTTGGTTAAAAACTACTGAGCTGTCCTATGCCTTGAAGCCCCACTTCCTCTTATCTCCCCCCCCCACCAGCAAAATAAAATGAAGAAACAAAAAGCCTCAACTCACAATGGCTTTTTATTCCAAAGCCATCAACATGATACTTTCAGAAAATATACTAATCGTAGGTGCTATTTAATTTGGGGCACACATTTTTATGAAAATAGGTATCGTGTACAACTTTTTCAAGAAGAGACATGTTTTCTATTTCTACCAACCTACTTGTATTAGTATAAACTAAGAAAAAGATATGGAAAAATATTACCCATAAAGAACTGGATTTTGTGTCAGGAGAAATGCTATATAAAACTGGTTTTCTTCCAGTGGTCATGGTCTCTTATCTTAACTCAAATTAAATATTGCAAAAACAAACTGTCTTTTAGCAGCCACAGCATGGGGTGGTAAAGTGAAGGGCATGCAGTATTAAAAATAAACCTATTAACAAATTAATTTTATTGGCTCTCTAGTCTTTATTTCTGCTAGTTTCATTGTTCATTTCTTTGGAAGAAGAAAATTTGAAGCTCTGTTTGCTGTACAATAAGTGATTGCTAGAGTCTTTTCTTTTTGTAATTTTAATTAATTAATTTATTTGTTCTAATTTGTCATACATGACAGCAGAATGCATTTCAATTCAAATATACAAATGGAGATCAAGTTTTCATTTTTCTGTTTGTACGACTGCAAGAATCGTTACAGCCTCAATTTATCAGCTATACATGATGAACCTTGGAGGCATGAGACTGAAGATTAGTCCCAAATTTAACCACCTAACAAGCCAGATTCCTGGCTCAGTAGATCAATATGCTTTCATATAAAAAAAATAAACCCCCAGGCTATGGCGGTACCCTCCTTCTACAGACATTTCCAATAGCATTGAATTAAGATTAGGGGGCAGGGCTCTAAAACTAAGAAAGTCCCATCATAGTGAGATAAGATAAAGGCTCTGACTCTTCTGGATACATATAATTTGAAGATGTTAAAAAATTAAGGTTTAGCTTACATTGGAATATCTAGAATCCTTTGGTTTCAGATTTATACCTGTTCTGTGTTTTTAATCATATAGTATCCTAGCCAATTTGTGTACATAAAGTCCTTGTTGTTTTTTTATAGCTTAAAGTACTCCTGGGAAATGTCACCATTAATCTGGAAACTAGATATACAGTTACTTGTGATAAAAAAACTGCAATTTCTTCTGTTCCACTTGTGTATAAAGCTTTTAGATTCTCTGTTAGTCAGAAATGTTAGTAAGAATCTGTTTTTTTTTCTCAGAAAAAAAAAAACAAGGAAATTCATTTGAGTGCCACATGATGTAGAGTTACACACATGAACATAGGAAAGTTATGTCCGATTCATTCTACTGGCTTTCCTATTCCCATCTACCCGCCCTTCCCCCCCCTCCCCTAATCCAGTGAATTTCCACTCCCCCACCTCATCGTGAGCCAGCATCCACGTATCAGAGAGAACATTAGGCCTTTGGTTTTCTGGAATTGGTTGATTTCACTTAGCATGATAGTCTCCTGTTCAAACCATTTACCGGCAAAAATGCCATAATTTCATTCTTCTTTATAGCTTAGTAATATTCCATTGCGTAGGTGTACCACATTAAGAACTTCATTCCTTAAAGTGATACAAATAAGAGATTTCTTTTCAACATCCCTTCTGTTGTCTCCTTCTAAAAGACTGTGCTTTCAATCTCTACCTGAAGAAGCAACGTTTTTAAAAATCAGCCTGGAACTAAAACACCAGAATCAGAAATCCCACCACACACCACCTGCCATCTACCACTGTGCCATGGACCCCTTCTCTCAGCCCCAGGCAAAGTTCTCACCTGCATAAGCTGCTGCTTCAGCTTCTGAATCTCGGAGATGTTGAGCTCACTGAACAGGTCCGAGACCGGGTGCAGGGACTCCCCCTTCCTCAGGGTGGGCGCCCGGTAGTCCCCGTTGAGTTTCACCAGCGGCCCGTGGAGGTGCCCGTTCATCTTGTCGTCGTTGTTGGGCTCGCCCCCGTCCTCGGCGAACTTGAGGCCGTCGACCGAGAGGCTGATGTGGTTGTCGCCCAGGGTGATGTACTGGGAGAGCTCCTTGCGCAGGCTGTTCTTCTGCTCCCTCTCGTTCTTCAGCGTCTCGAGCGCCTCCTCCAGCTGGTGCTCGGCGATCTCCTTCAGCCGCAGGGCGTCCTCCAGCTGGCTGTTGAGCAGCACCGTCTCCTCCTCAAACCGCTTGATCTCATGCTTCAGGCCCTCGTACTCCACCTGCATCAGACAGGACAAGGAAGATTCATAGAACTAAAAGTTGGGTCTTACAAAACTGCCATCAGGCGCTCCAGTGAGCTTGATCACTAAAAAAGATGACAGCATTCGTCCTCAAAATGAACCATGTACACATGATTTTTTTTTTTTTTCCAGATGCTAGGGATTGAATCCAGGGCCTTATCCATGTTAGGGAAGCACCCTACCCCTGAGCTATACCCCCAGCCTGAAATAAATCATAAAAAGCAACAGTATTTCCTTAAGATAACAGAGGACGATTTCCTTAGAAATTATATATGCAATGAACACACACACACACATATATAATTATATATAATTAGCATCTAATAGCAATGATGACATTGTCGCTTTTTCTAATTTATTTTGGTAACAGAAATCTATATAAGTCTATGATTTAATTCTTAGCAGGATGAAAAAGTTTTCTACTGTTCTAGGATTTCTTTTATAGGATCCAATCGTCCAAAGAGGAAATTGTTTGCCTCATAAATCAGAATTTTTTTTTTTGCTAATAATTTATCCAAATACAATCCATGGAAAGATTTTTATCATCATCACTGTTACTTTTAAAAATGTCA